CTATTTTTATTTATTTATTTATTTATTATTTTTATTTATTATTTATTTTTATCTTTTTGTTTATTTAGGCCCACTCACAGCCTATACCGATGCGCGAAGTGGCGCTCAAACCCTAAACCCTAGACCCTAAACCCTAAACCCTAAATCCTAAACCCTCATTCCTAAGCCCTAGACCCTAAACCCTAAACCCTAAACCCTCATTCCTAAACCCTAAACCCTAAGTGACAAACACTAAGCCCTATAAGCCCTAAGGCTAGAAAAGTATAAAACAATCCTGAAAGCTAAACCCTGAAGGCCTGCACTGCTGTAAACCCTAAACCCTAAACTCCAGACCCTAAACCCTAAACCCTAAACCCTAAAAGTGCGAATTATGAAATTTTCAATTTTGACTTTTTCCAATAGTTTCTCTGCCTAACAAACAACTCCTCAGGCCTCCCAAAGTCCAAATAAATAAATAAATAAATAAATAAATAAATAAATAAGTAAATAATTAGTTAATTAATAGTAAAGTTCATATCGCATGAAGGCTTTCTTATATGAGCCCTTTAATTTATATTTTACTTTCGCAATTAATTATTTAAGTTTTGGATTTAAATTTAAATTTAAATTTAAATTTAAATTTAAAATTAAAGCCAAATCGAACTTTAAAATTAAATTTGAAAGTGAAAATAAATTTAAATTTAAATTTAAATTTAAATTTAAATAAATCCACCAAAGACTGGAAGCGTTTCTTTGTAGTTTAAAGTTTTGAATTCAATTTAACTTTTAATTAATTTGTAATTCGGAATTTAATTAATTTATTTGCATTTGTTATTATCATTTGTAATTTTGTTTACCCTGAAACCCTAAGCCCTAAACCCTAAACCCTTGATTAATGTTTAATTATAAATACATTCGAAGTTTTATTTGTAATTTAGTTTGTAATTATATTTTTAATTAAAATTACAATTAAATCGACTATCAGAATATTATTCTTAATTTAAAATTACTTTTTTAATCATTTGTTTATAGTTACATTTATATGAAGTTATTTATAATTACATTAATAAAAGTAATGAAAGAAACTATATTTTTAATTACAAATTTAATTTTTATTAAAATTAAAATAATACTTTTAAATACCTTTTTATTTAATTAGTTTATTACAAATTCAAGAATAAAGAAAAAGTCTTTTTCTTCTTTTTGCAAAAGTTTAAAATCTAAACACATAAGTCCTTTCACCTGGTGCAAAGCCCTAACCCCTAAACCCTAAACCCTAAACCCTAATCAGTGTCTTTGCTGTAATTTTCCAGCATTCAAGAGGCGAAGAATAAATAGAAAATGAAAACATAAAAAAGTAATTGAGATTGAAGTGTTAAATTAAATTGTAATTGTAATTAAAAATATAATTAAAAAAGTAGTTAAAATAGTAATTAAAAAAATAATTAAAAAAATAAAAGTATAAACGCAAAAACAGACTCAGGCTGTTTGGCGTTGCTTGTTGCATCAAAATTTAATTAAATTAAATTAAATTAAATTAAGTTAAATTAAATTAAATTAAATTAAATTAAATTAAATTTAGTTTAGATAAATTTAGTTTAGATGAATACGCAAATGAAAAAACAAATGGCAGAGAAGCAATAGCAGCAGCAGCAGCAGTAGCTCCTGCTGCCGCTCCTGCTGCAGCAGCTGCTGCTGCAGGTTCTGCTGCAGCAGCAGCAGCAGCAGAACCGGTACTGATTGCAGGAGCGGCAGCACAAGTGAAACATTAGCAGCAGTAGCAGCAGCAGCAGGACTAGCAGCACTAGAAGCAGCAGATGCAGCAGCAGCAAAAGCAGCAACTAGAGCAGCAACTAGAGCAGCAGCAGCAGCTGCTACCCTGCAGCAGCAGCAGCACTGCCTGCTCTGCTGAAGCAACATCAGCAACGGCAGCAACAGCAGCAACAGCTGCAGCAGCAGCAGCAGCAGCAGCAGCAGCAAAACTGTGCTCGCGTCTCCAGGCTGTCTTCAGGACTTCTTGAATTGGATTTAAATGGGAGAACAGACAAGACAGAAAAGAAGAAACAAAAGAGTTTTTAAATTTAAAAATAAAATAAATAAATTAAAATAAGTAAATAAATAGCAAATTAACGCAAAGAGCGGCAGCCGCTCGCCGGACACAGCTGCAACCGACAGCAGCAACAGCAGCAGCAGCAGCAGCAGCAGCTGCTGCTGCTGCTGTAAATTGCCGTTTAATTGCTAGGTTTGTATTAAGGAATATAAATTTATTTATTTTAAACTCAAATCATTTTTAATTTATTATTTAATAGGCAGCAGCAGCGCAGCGCTGCAGCAGCGGAGGAACTACCCAAGACAGTACAGGCCCATCTGCTGCTGCTGCTGCTGCTGCTGCTGCTGCTGCAGCTGCTGCTGCTGCCGGTATCCCCTTGAGCCCTCTTGAGGCACCTCTTGTTGCAGTTTTTATTTCAGTGCACAAGAAGCCTGCACCGCTGAAGCAGCAGCAGCAGCAGCAGCAGCAGGCGTCAGTGGTTCCTTTTCAGGTGTATCTCCAGCTCATTTCTCTCCGTTTTATTTCAAGTGTCGCAACAGCGGCCAGTTCTTCTCGATCCTCTCCCTTCTAGGGTTTAGGGTTTAGGGTTTAGGGTTAAGGGTTTAGGGTCTAGGGTTTGGCTGCGCTGCGGTCACCTCCGGGCCCCAGACAGCCAGAGACAACGCGACTCGCCGCTAAACCCTAAACCCTAAACCCTAAACCCTAAACCCTCGCTCCGCGGTGCCGTGCGAAACCCCAGCCCCCCAGCCGCCAACTTCCTCCCTCCGCGTCGCTACTTCCGAAACCCTAAACCCTAAACCCTAAACCCTAGACCCGCTTCTCCCGCCCACGCCTTCAAACCCTAAACCCTAGCTCTCCCGCCTATGGCCATATCCGCAGACTCCCCGGGGCCCCCGGGGCCCCCGGGGG